ATTTCAAATTGAACAGGTTGACCTGCTTTCACTAAGAACACCAAATAAGGGCTGCCAACCTGAAAACTGGCAGCCAGATACAGTTAACAGGGCCGCCACGAACTGCTAAGTGAGTTACTGAGAAGCTCTGGTTCCTGAGACACTTGCCAAGTTTGCTGTTAACACTAGGTGCTGAATTGCTGCAACTCAAGCTTTCGCAGCTGTTATCACAAAGAACTAAGACTTGGTGGCACTAGAACTCAAAAAGTTGCTGACACTAAAACAGCCATACTTGGCCTTTTGTGATTTCCATTATAAATGATCAAAACAACTCTCAACATACTATTGGCAACACCAAGATCTACTTCCTCTTCAGAAATGTGGTTTTTATATGTAGTGTAAAATCTGAGAACCACCAATTCACCAAAGCAGCCCTTCAGACACTATCGAACAGAGCCAAAGCTGACACATGGTTTGCTCATCACAGTAATCCAGGCTCAGAATTCAATGTTTTCACCATACAGACAGGCACTCGACTGGACGGGGAAACTGAGATAGGAAAGATGACCAACTTCAGATATGCATTTACGACTCCTGATGTCACATGAAATTATTTTACTTTGTAAACTTGTAATCATAAAATGAAATTTACAAATAGAATATATCTAAGACTCATACCATGAAGACTATGCAAATGATCATTATGACTAAACCAAACCCCAAATGGTGCATACAAGTATTACAAGTTTTGTGGAACACACCTGACATTGTTCTAAAACATATCTCTTTAACCAACTAAAGGGCATGATCACCACTGGGAACTTGCACTCTTTCTCATCTGCTTCCCATTACCTCACCAGCAATCCACTTGTCACTGATGTTTCTCCTCCTTTCAGCAAATTATGCCTTTAGTCAATTAGCTTCTCTCAATCTGCAATTCCCTTTTCCAAAAATAAACTGTTACCAAGTTCAAGAAACACTGAGTCCCAGCACCAAGTAAGCAATCTCTGTGAAGATTTTTATTTATAAGCATACTTCAAATCATCTGTAAAGAATAGTTACCGCCAGGTGTGAAAGTGTACATTTGTAATCTCAGCACTCAGGTGGGTGAGGCACGTTTGCAATGTGGTTTACACAGCATGATCCTCTCTCCAAAATTATAAATATACATAAAGCACAATTACCCAAAGAGATACTTCAATTGCTAATGTATGGTTCTCTCTAGGTTCCAAACATTCCAACGCCAAACAATCCATGTCACACTGCAACTCAACAGAACTTCATTCACTTACTCCTCTCACACAACTGCATACTTCTAAATGTAAGCCAGTTAGCAGGAAGGCTGGCTCACACCTGTAATCCAAGCACTCAGATGGGTAAAGCCAAGAGGACTGCAGTGAGCTCAAGGCCAACTTGGGCTTCACAGTGCATATAAGCCCAGCCTGACCTATAGATTTTGACTGAAAAAAATTTTATTCATCCTATCATCAGGAACACTAAGATATACCAAACAATCCCAGAAGACTACAAATACAGTAATATTTTTACAAGAAAACAAGGTTTCAATAAGTTGAAAATTAGAAAGTCATATACCTAACTTTTAAATGTTATATCTCATGACACTACCACCACCCTTCATATTAATACAACACTTATCAATAATCACACACACACACATACACACACACACACACACACACACACATACATATAACATTCATCTGCACTAAGTAAGATGTCTAGGACTAAGACCTTAAATTATACAATTTTTGGGCACACAAACTCTGAGCAGCAGAAACAGTAAGATCATAACCAAGTCTGAAACATCTTGGGTTAACTTAAGAACTTTCATTACATAAATAAAAAGCAGCAAGACTGTAACAAAGTCTGAAATGGCTTGGGTCAATTTAGCTAGGCTCTTACAATAAATAAAATCAGGAGGATCATAAGAAAGTCTGAAACCGCTTTGGTTAACTTAGCATACATCTTTCAAAAAATATAAACCAGAAAGATCACAAGACATACGGAAATGGTGTGGGTTAATTAGTGAGGGTCTTTCAATAAATAAGAATCAAGAAAGATGTGTAAGAAGTTTTGACATGGCTTGAGTTAACACAGCAAGGGTCTTCAATAGATAGATAAAATAATAAATTGTAGCAAGATCATAAATACTGAAATGGCTTGGGTAACACGACGAGGGTTGGGGGGAGAGAGAGACAGAGAGAGAGAGAGAGAAAGATCATAAATACTGAAATGGGTTGGGCTAATTTAGCAAGGGCCTTTCAATACATACATACATACATACATAACAGGAAGATCATAAATACTGAAATGGCTTGGATAACTTCCGAGGTACTTTCAATAAATAAATAAAAACATGAAAATCATATAAAATACTGAAACAGCTTTAGTTAACTTGGCAAGGTACCTTCAATAAATAAAATCATATGAATACTGAAACGACTTTAGTGAGCTACTTTCAAAAATAAATATATAAATAAATACCAGTAAAATCTTAAATAACACTGAAATAGTTAGGTAAATACCAGTGAGATTGTAAGTAACACTGAAATGGTTAGGGTTAACTTAGCAAGGGGCTTTCCAGAAATAAATAAAAAGCAGAAAGATGTAAGAAAGTCAAACAGCTTAGTTTAACACAGTGAGGGATTTTAAACAGATAAAGCAGGCAGATAATACTGAAATGGCTTGGGTAAACTTAGCAAGGGTCTTTCAACATATAAAAAGGAAGAGCCTAACAAAATCTGAAATGACTTGGCTTAATGTTGGGAGGGAAAAAAAACATTGGGAGGGCCTTTAAATAAATCAATAAATAAAAGATAAATAGCAAAAAGATAAAAAAATATTGAAATAGTGTGGGTTAACTGAGTGAGCATCTTTCAACAAAAAGCAGAAAGACCGTAACAAAGTCTAAAATGGCTGGGTTTAATATTAAGATGGTCTTTCCATAAATAAATACATACATAAATACATATATACATACCAAGAACCTCATTAATACTGAAATGGCCTATGTTAACTGAGCAAGGGTCTTTCAAAATAAATAAAAACCAGGAAGATCATACCAAAGTCTGGACCAGCTTGGGTTAACACTACAAGGGTCTTTCAATAAATAAATACATAAATACATATATACATACCAAGAACATCAAAAATACTGAAATGGCTTAGGTTAACTGAGCAAGAGTCTTTCAATAAATAAAAACCAGGAAGATTAACCAAAGTCTGGACCAGCTTGGGTTAACACTACAAGGGTCTTTCAATAAATAAATAAATACATATATACATACCAAGAAAATAAAAAATACTGAAATGGCCTATGTTAACTGAGCAAGGGTCTTTCAATAAATAAAAACCAGGAAGATCATACCAAAGTCTGGACCAGCTTGGGTTAACATTACAAGGGTCTTTCAATAAATAAATAAATAAATAAATAAATACCAAGAACATAAAAATACTGAAATGGCCTACGTTAACTGAGCAAGGGTTTTTCAATAAATAAAAACCAGGAAGATCATACCAAAGTCTGGACCAGCTTGGGTTAACACTACAAGGGTCTTTCAATAAATAAATAAATAAATACATATATACATACCAAGAACATCAAAAATACTGAAATGGCCTATGTTAACTGAGCAAGGGTCTTTCAATAAATAAAAACCAGGAAGATCATACCAAAGTCTGGACCAGCTTGGGTTAATGTTACAAGGGTCTTTCAATAAATAAATACACACATAAATACATTCATACACACAAGAACATCATAAATACTGAAATGCCTTAGGTTCACTACACAAGAGTATTTCAATAAAGAAATAAATGAATGAATAAATTAAATAAAAGTAGAAAGACCCTAATCAAGTCTGAAGCAAGCTCAGATTAACTTAGGATAGACAGACAAGAAGTAAAAATGTATAGGGACTACTCTTAAGACCCCAGTTTTAAACCTCAGAACAAAAGACCACATAAAATATCCATACCATCTTTAAAGATAAAATAGTAAAGAGCTAGAGATGTATATAGAACAGTTCAAGGCCCCAGTATTCAACCCTAGTACGAAAGACAACACATATCAATAGCATATCTTTTAAACAAGATTAAATACATACACATAATAAATAAATCTAGAAATATCTATCTATCTATCTATATATCTATATATATATATATATATATAGAGAGAGAGAGAGAGAGAGAGAGAGAGAGAGAGAGAGAGAGAGAGAGAGAGAGAGAGAGAGAGAGAGAGAGAGAGAGAGAGAGAGAGAGAGGGGGAGAGAGAGAGAGAGAGAGAGAGAGAGAGAGAGAGAGAACAGTCTTAAGGCCCCAGTTTTGTAAACAAGATTTAACTATTTGTGCTTCTAATCATAGAATTATCACAGATCACAAAAAGACCTATCAGTCACACAAGCAGAAATTCTATGGGAGACACGACTAAAGGAACACTGATACTCACTTCATCTCTTGAGCTTAGCTTTCATCATTCCAAAATGCCAATTTTCCTCTATACTTGAATCCAAACTGCTGAAAACACTCTTAACTCATCAAGCAGAATCACAGTAACTACAATTCTCCTAGAAATATAAATGCATTTTTTCTATAGATCAAAACCTAACACAACCACAAACACCAACTAACTAGTATTTATTGTTTAATGTGAAAAATGGGGAAGCTGCCTCACAGTGCCTGGGAATGGGTTCCTGAAAATCCTAGAATAATGTTCACGTTGGGTGGTGTGCCTATCCTGAGGGGAATGTAGCCTACGGTTTGTTCCTCTCATTTATCCTTTGAAATATACAGCGTAAAAAGCCAAATTGCTTGCCGTCTGTCAAATTATCAGCGTAGAAGAGACACTATGCAAGGAAACATCTAAATTTATGCCCAACTTTGCTTGCTGTACTTTAAAAACATCTACAACCTCATTCCCCTTCAGGTACTGATGAGAAAAACCTTGTCCCATTGGCACAGATATCGGTATCCTTCGAGCTTAGACCAACACTTGGGCCAGACTTCAGAGTAATCCCGTGGAGCCTCACATCATTCATGCTCAGCACGCCTAGCTCATCATCAGTCCAACCATGCATGGTCTCTTACAAGGTTTTCTACAACAAGTACAACAATAAGGGATCAGAGGTGTAGGTTTATGTACAAGGTATTCTCAGCAAGCAGAAAGGTTTGGGTTAAAACCTCCTAGTAATAATTAAAGATACCTACACTATTATTATTTTTTTTCCTTTTTTTTGGTGGAACCGGGGATTGAACTCAGGTCCTTGCACTTGCCAGGAAAGCGTTTATTCCACTGAGCCATCTCCCCGTTCCTTTTTTTTGGCGGAACCAGGGATTGAACTCAGGCCCTTGCACTTGCCTGGGAAGTGCTTATTCCACTGAGCCATCTCCCCGGCCCTTATTA